GCCTCGCACTGCGCCTCCCCTGCCGCCCGCTTCGGCCACAGCCAGACGCCCGCCGCCTTCCTCAGCGCCCTGCTGCCCTCACAGCCGCAGCCTGTCGCTGTCAACGCCCTGGGCCTGCCCAAGGGCGTCACCCCCGCGTGAGTGACACCCCCCCACCTGAGGTCGCCTCGCCCCTTCCACGTCAAAGCGCGCGCGCCCGTTGAAGCTGCGGCCCAGGGGTGCCCTTGAAACAGTCTTACACACTTCACCCAATTTTTAAATTCTTATCACAGCAACTTTACCAAGCTGTTCTTGCATAGAACAAGCCGATCGACCGTTGCTAAGATCAACACTTTTTCTTCTGCATTCAATAATGCGAGATCTTATCAGAAACTGCCCAAAATCTAAGCAGTGCTCTTAAATTTGATGGTGGCCTCAGCTACGGTAATTTCCTGAGCATAGTGCAGTCCACGTATGTTCTCTCATTTGATACCCTTCTAAGGGATAGGATTGCCTCGCCTACAACTGAAGATTCCAGTAGTTCAACAATTTGCCCAGAGTCACACAGCCACCAAACTGAGATTTGAACCCATGCCTGTCTGAGGCCAAATCCATGCTCATACCACCAAACTACGTATCTTAATATTTCAGATTAATATTACAGTAGAGGTGGTTATTAAGTATACCCTTAATGTTTCTGAACGATCTAAATTAACAGAATTAGAAGCCTTTACATTTATGTAGTGATTGATTGGAAGTGGGGGGTGGGGGCATGTACATATCTTTATGTTGTTGATACACATAAGTGAGGGCGTGTGCAACCTAGTGAAGAAACGGTGGTGCCAGTTTTCCCCAGCCAACGGTGATATCGTGGGAGGTGACATGGATCTAGAAAATCTATGAGGATAAGTAAGATGACGCCTACAAAAGTACAGTAAAGCCTTCAAAAGAACCATAGTACAGGTGTTCGGCATGTCTTGTTGAAGAGTAAATTGTGTAAAAGCTAGCACACGTCATTTTACTAAAGAGTTCCGAAATAAGTACGCGCTGGCAGAGGTCAAGCCGGTTCCCTATCTCAACTCTTCCTGTTGAAATCCTACTTCGGAGTCTGCCAGAATCCCGATATTGCTCAGAAAGAAAAGGAGGAAACCCCACTAAAGAACAAAAATGAGACCTTAGAGTGCAGGTTATTTTTATCTACATGGAAGAATTTCCCATTCTGGGATGTACTAAGCCACCTTAGAGTGAGCATCGCTGTGCCTGACTGACGTGGTGTGTCCAGGAGCTTCAGTCAGCCGTGTCTTGTTTTGTTAGGCACCTTCTAAATGTTCAGGACATGAATTCTAAGTTTAAAGGTTTAAAGTCTGGCTTCTTCTCAAATCTCTACTGGAAAAAGTTCAGTCAAATGAACACATAAGTGGAATAAAGGAGGGGTCTGTATCATAATGATGTGATAATGGGCTTCTATTGAAAGTTGAGTCAGTCAAATTGCCTGAGAAAACCTTTCTCCCCTGCTTCTCTGAGTTTTTATTTGGCTGCTAGGAAATGAAATATTATGTTGCTACAAAGACGCTAACTGTTAGGTTCAAAACGTGGGAGTTTGTTGCATGACACTTTATCATCTCTTCCTATGAAATGGTACCAAATCTTGCTTCCTAGGAAGATAAGTACTCTGTAAATAATTTAATATTCCTCACGTAGGATTGGATCAAAGATTAGTGTTTCAGGCATTGGGGGTCATGCCTTTTATCATCCTAAGGAGAAACAGTGGTGTATTCTGATCTTGGACTTTGAAATTCTCTTAAGAAGATAAGCAATTTTCAGAGTTTACTTCGAGTAATAGAAGCACTTGCTTCTAATCAGCATGTATCACAGTTGCTCATTTTATGGAGTCAAAATATTTGATAATTGTTACCGCAAGAGCCCAGTACTTCCTGCCATTTCTTTAAAGTTAATGGAGAAGCTATGCTGATGTTGTGGCTATGCTAAACTGTACCCACAGATAGTTAGGTGCTGTGACACTGGAGTAAGTGGCAATACCAGGCAGCAGATGTTTAGCTCTGTGCCAGCCTAACAAGCCATCATTACGTGGTTATCCTTTGTCTTCAAGAAGTTTTCCTATTGCTGAATCGCACACTTGAATTCTTTCTTTGGGTCTGATACATGTGACTTTTAGAACATTTTTCTCTCCGGCATAATGTGGGATCCCTTGCTTGCATTCTGAATGAAAAACAAAAAGGTAGCTACTTATCCGTGATGATAATCCACATAATTTGCCAAAGACCGAGTGCCCCTTTCAGGGCTGCCATGACTCACTGGCATCCGTGAACTTGGAGGAACTGCCAAATTCTTGTCAAATGAATCTTTTTAATTACTTTCATTTATATTTCATTGGTTACCTGTGGTCATGGTGACAGCAAATTCAGTGTCACTTGTGTTATTCCTCTAATTGGATGGTTCTGTCGAATGTGTGTGTCAAATTGCAGTAAATAGATTGATGACACATGACTCAGTGAAGTAGAAATACATTCCATTTTTATTTTTTTGCCTGCTTTGTTTTACCAGAATCTTAGGTGTAAATTGCAGACATCTGTTTTCTTAGTCATCAGTTGCATACTAGCTGTTTCAGCCTGCCTGCCTGGGTGGCATTGTCCTTGTTAAAGAATAGGCTGGTTATTTACTCACTGTCTAAGTAGTTTGCGGAGATAAGGTTCTGTTTCTCAAATGTCTGGGTAGCAGAGGTCAAGGCAGGGAGCAAAGGCCATGGATGCCGGTGATAAACCGCGGTCAGGAAGACGAGTGACAGCGAGAGGCCTGGAGGCAGCGGTCTTCGCCTGCTGGCTGATGGCGGCTTGGGGAACTTCTGCACACGTTGTTCCTCGGGTACCTTTCTTCCTTCAGACTCATACATTCTTCTCCAGGGTCACTGGGGTCACTAGCAGAGAAAGTACTGCCCTTCTCAAAGCTGCCGACAGACACACGTGTTCAGGTGACTAAATCTCTCAGATGGAGGCAGGAGGAGAACGTGCCTTAGAAAGAAATCTGTTTGCACTTTTATAAAATGAATGTCTTCTACTCCCCTCACAACTGCTGATAGTTTTACGGCTTCCATTGCTGTAACCCCACTCTTCTACGAAACACAGTAAGAATCCCTAAGAGGTGGCGGGATCCAGAGGAGTGAGGAACGCCACCTGAAGACACGGCAGCAGTCCTGTCTCTGCTGGCCTCTGAGCGGCTGCACCAAGCTCCAGGTGAATCACTTCAGATCCATCCCCGAGAACCCGACTGGCGCTGTATTTTTTGCTCACCTTGACAGTCTTGGAATCTGTTCTCATAAGGGGGTGCCGCATAGCCAAAGCGCTACACGGTTATACACTCTTTGTTGCCTCTCATAGAAGTAGGGCTTTGGTTTGAAATGTTTCTCAAAAGTAAAAGCATGTCTCAATGAGAGCTTTTATTCTGTGGGCACTGGGCCCTTTATAGACTTCATCTCTCTTCTACCTCATTTATAAGAAACAGGTGGGTGGGAACACTGTCCTTATTCAAGGTGAGAGGCACCAAGAGGTGAAGGGATTTCCCAGGGTTCTGGGATAAGCTTAAGCAAGGAGGGTATTCATTAGATCTCGTGACCCTCCCTGGTTTATCTCTAATACACCCAGTGTCTGATACCTCTTAATTAAAGAAAACCGCTGCAGACCAACAAAACAGAATTGCCCGAGTCTTAAGGAAAAGTTTGTAAACAGATTCCGATGCACTTCAGACAGTTTTCAAGTCAAGACCGTGGTTAGATAGTAACTAACAGAAAAGACAAAAGCCTCATTGGACTTTGCAGACATTATCTCATGGCTCCTGCCTTTCTCCTGTCCTGCAGGAAGCAGGTGGGTGGGGGCCCTATTATTCCCCATTAGAGGCAGAGGCCTGAGGGGGCTGGGGGCTGTCCCAGGGTCTGGTCATTGGGCTCATTAGTGTCCTGTGCCATAGGGGATTCTACACAGAGTTGCATCCAATCCTGGGCAAGTATCTCCCAGCAAACTAGTAGGAGAGGTCTCAGGGTCTGCTGTGACTAGCGACAGTTAAGCTGAAATGTCTGTTCATAATGAGACCTGCTCAGTCACGGATGGCTCTATACTGAGCTGTATGGGGTTAGCAAATAGGTGTAGGTATGTGAGTTTATCCTTTAGCGAACCCAAAAAGTAATGTGAGGAGAAGCTAGTGTTAGTATAAAGTGATCTATTTTCCTTAAGTGGAAGCTTCAGGTACTCACTGCACTCTAACAGCTTTGGCTTTTGAAAAACTCACTATGTGTATCTTGGGCTCTTTTATATATTAATTCACATATTACATTCTTGAACGTGACGGATAGAGAAATGCCAGCATGTTAATGATTTTGTTCACTCTGGATTTTTGTGGAATTTTGTTACCATTAGGTATCACTGACTATGAGAGGACTATAAGTAGTTAAAAAAATTTCACTAGTTGCTAGACAGGCTCATGACCTCTTAAATCAGTGTTGGACTCTGGAGATTTGAGTTCCTGAAATACACAGACCCAGTTGACCTAGACTAGTATATCGAGGGGAGGATGCTCTCAAGATTATTCAGAAGTCAAGGGAGGGGAAGCCTCCTGGGATTTGGGGGTAGTTGAATCCGGAAGATCTTACCTCCCAGATGCTTGTGTATATGCTTGAGAGGTTTTTGCCCCCAGCCCCATGAGTATTATTTTTAAACGGTAAGTGACTTGCTGTAGGAGCCAGAGTAAACAGTCCTGCTTTCCGCACAGTTGGGCTGGGTGTGAGCACACTGAGGGATCTGGTGTGGGAGGCTGCGATGGATCATTTACTGCTCGAGGTTTGCTTCTGATGTGGATTTTGTGAAGGGTGCTGGTTTGGAATAAGCATGTTGTTTGTTAATTGTGCAAACCATCTCTCTGTCACTCCTCTTTATTTCCTAACAAGTTGTTGCTCTTCATTTATCAAAAGTAGGTGCCATTTAGGGGAACAAACCACAACCATTTTACATTAAACTCCAACACAAAGTTTTATAGGAAAACAAACCCATTTACCAAAACTTTGCCTCAAAAACGTATAACTACTTTTCTTTCCTGGTGCCTCCCCCTTCCAAACACTCCATTTTGGTTTCTAACCCAGACCTTATAAACTAACCCCTTAACTCTTACTCAGTTTTCAACACAATTTCCTAAAGTATTTTCTGACTTACGTTAGTCCAGATAAAATACTCTCTGGAGAAAAAAAAAAAGGTTCCATATTAAAACAAGTATAAGAAACACTGCAACCTGCACCCCCGTGCCTCCTTCCTCGGGGCTCGCAAGCCGTCAGCCCTGCCTGTCGTTCCAGCCATGGGGCCCGCACAGCTGGCACCTTCCTGTCACTTGGGCCTCAGCTGTAGTGTCAGCTGCTCAGACGTGTGATTAACTGCACTAACACAGTCACCTCCTCCCACTCCTGTCCCTTCGCAGTGCTCACCACCTCTTGGTATGTCCTGCCTTCCATCCATTCTCTCCTTCCCCTCCCCCCATAGAATAGAATCCTTGTTAGTGACTTAGTTTCATTAGACACTGTATTCTTTTTTTTCTTCTTTTTTTTTAAAATATATCTTTACTGATTTCAGAGAGAGGAAAGGAGAGGGAGAGAGAGAGAGAAACATCAATGATGAGAAGAGTCATGGATCGGCCGCCTCCTGCACGCTCCCGACTGGGGATCGAGCCCGCAACCCGGGCATGTGCCCTGACCGGGAATCGAACCCCGATCGCCTGGATCCTAGGTTGACGCTCAACTGCTGAGCCACGCCCGGCCGGGCTAGACACTGTATTCTTAGAACAGAGTTGCACACTGAAAAGCCCATCAGTAAAGGTTATTTCCACATTTTTTGGAAACTCTGGCCCAGAGTTCCTGCCATCTTTTTTACCTCCTTTCCTCTTTCATTCCATTTCCCTCGGCCAGTCTTGTCTCCGGGAGTCACTTCCACGCTGGGTAGTTTCTGTGAGCCTGTCTACACATTAGTTACCTCATGTAGTTCCCCAGTAATGCTCTGAGATTCATGCTACTAATACCTACATTTTACAGGGAGGGAAACTGAGGCACATAGCCATTAGGGAACTAGCCCAAGCCACGCAGCGTTTAAGTGGTAAAAAGAGATCCTGACCTCTGTGCCATTGGTCGTGCTGACTCTGAATCCTTCCTCTCCGTCTGTCTGTCAGCATCCCCCTCATCTCCAGATCTTAGGTGCCTCCTCTCGCGGGCTCTCTGCACTGTCGTAGCCAGCAGTCCTCTCCACTTCTGCTCGCTCCCGCTGCCCCTGGGGCTGCTGCCACAGAGATGCCTTCATTTATTCTCCAACTTGATCACTAACCTCTTGTGGTCAAGGACCATCCTTGAGGACTTGGCTGTCTCCTCCGCATCACATGGTGTTGAGACCGTACTGATGAAGCTAGGTGCTCAAGAAATATTTGTGCAGTGACTGTTAGACATTTAAAAATCTTTCAACTGATCGGTTTTTATTTCAGTGTTAATTGCTCAGAATCAAGAAAATACATGTACCTTAAATTTCTGTAAGTAAAGCAAAGTACTATCTTAAAAAATAGCGGGAAACAGGGATCATCAGCCCTTCTAATGCTGGTGATCTTCACATGCTTAGGGAATCGGCTTGTTGAAAGAAACAGAACGATCAGGGTTTGTATTTGAATCAAAGAGTAGTTTTCACTGTACTGTGGATTTATGAAATACCTGGGTGGCAGGACCCCATACTGAAGTGCATGTCCTCTGCATGTGCTGTCCGAGAGCACTTGTCCTAAGTCCTCAGATCCCCTGAAAGAGTCAGGTGTACTGAGAAATGCTTCGTAAGCAACAGGACTTTTTCAGTAGTAAATAGGTGTGTACTTGTTCAAAAGAACTTGCGGCTGTCCTGTAAACACAGTCCCCTACCTCTCTAGTTCAGGTGCTCTGCCCGCCCCTCACAGTCGCTTTGGGCCCTTTAGTGCTCATCTGTGCAGAGCACAGCTCTCGCGGCATCTGCCTGTGGACACACGGGGAAGCCTCCTGTCCTCGGAGGATGTCATACAGTTGTGCAACTGGTTACGTTGTCAGGTGTAAAGTGCCAATGGGAACCCATATGTTCCCAGCAGAGCTGATGGGCAGTGAGCTGGCTGTCTTTAGTACTAGCTTTCAGGTGACTTCAGAACCTAGCTCTTCTAGTCCTCAGATATAAAGCTGTAGTCAGAAGCAATGAAGAGCTTTATTTCCAAAACTGTGTAATAATTTTACTTGTTCTGAGCGTGACTTGTTATATGTGGTTTGGTTTCACACGGCTCTGGCACAGATTTTCTTGCCTGAGGAGAGGGAGCTTAGAGAGAGATCAGAAGTGGAGACGGACAGTGCACTCGTTCACTCATTCGGTCTGTTCGACAAGCACTGTGATGAACAAGAGAGGCATGAGAGACAGTGAAACAGAACATAGGATGCTAGTGTGTGATGGGGTTATGAAGAAAACAAACATGGTCCAGTGGCCAATGGGGTTGACTTAGTCAGGGTCCCCCTTTCCGAGGAGACATTAGACTGAAGCCTGATGGCTGGTGACATTGCCCCGGGAAAAAAAGTAAGGAGAGAGGCTCTAGGCTTAGGAAAGTTGGCAAACTGTGTGCATTTTTGTTAAAGGGTTGCGTGGTACTAAAAATTGAGGTTATAAATCATAAGTCCTATGGCCCTTGCTATTAATATGTCTCAAGTTCATTGCCCAGCTCCTTAAAAATCTAGATCCATTCCCAGGATACAATTTAAAGTTTGACTAACCACTCTGATACTACTAACACGGGATATCATGATATTTTATTTCTTTAATTTGTTTTTTTAAAAACCAATGTCTAACATCATCCTATTGAACTTCAGAGGCAAATGACTAGAAAGGAGGGACCCGGAAAAGCTATCAGAGTTTTTCCATTGTAGGTAACAGAAGACTCAACTACCAGATTAAATGCATAAGGTTTATTGTTTTACATAACAAGTGGGGGGTCAGGCAGTTCCATAGTACATTAACACAGTGTCCCCAAAACAATCGGGGATCCAGGCTCTTCTTTCCAAGCTATTATTGGCATGTCGTGGGCTCTCCCCTCCTGGTCACACCGTAGATGCAGCGGTTTGGGACATTACACTTTTGACACAGTGGTAGCCCGTGAAAGAAGAGGGACATTTCTTCCTCTGTGTTTCTCTTTAGAGATGGGGAGTTTTTAACTGGAGCACCGCACCCTCTCTCTCCCACCCTCTCCCACCTCCATTCTCCCAATCTCATTGGCCAGGGCTCCATCACAGGCCTCTGGCTCATTACTGTCCAGGGGATTGAGACCACTCCGGTTCATCACCCCTGAGTTTGGAGAGAGGTGGGGATCGCCTTTTCCAAGCACATTGAAAGATGAACACCCAACAAATTAAGAGGGAGTTCAGCAAGGAAACGAGGGGGAGTGCACAGGAGGAGGGAATGGTTGCTGGGAAGAGCAGGAGGGACCTCAGGAGGAGATGGTACAGGTATTCCATTTCTCCTGGATCTTTGCCCACAGCCTTGTGAGAAATAGGAAGCAAACTGCTTAAGGCACCAACAAAAGTGGATTCCCCAGCCATCGAGCCCCCAGCACCAGTGCCCCCAGCTCACATGGCCCAGGGCACTGTCGCTGATCGTGAAGAGAAAGGGTCTGGCCCCTCACCTATCCTGACAGCCCCGGGCTCTGCGGGAGGTTGAGGAAGTTCGGGACGCACCGAGCGTAGCAGGAGCCGCAGTCTTCCCAGGGTCCTGTAATATAGGACACCCTGTCCCATACCACGGGCCTTCCCTAGTCAAGGTAGGACAGGCGGGAAGGTAACAAACTTAGTTTCTACTTAGAGTGGGCTAAGCACTGTTGTTGAATGAATTCCTTATGGAGGATCATAAGGATTGAATTTATGAACGTATGAAAGAAAGATGTTCTCTTTCAAATCCCTTCAACAGTCACATGTGGTATATGTTTTTATTCCTGCTCATAAGAAATGTTAAGAAAGTGGCTCAAAGTCACAAACCTAACACAAGGCAGAGCCAGATTTTAAGCCTAGGTCTGATTACAAATCACATCATATTTTCACTTTACATGGCTGCCTCCCCAGAGCTGAAACGCAGGCCGTCCCTATCCTTGGCAATTAGCTAACCACAGCGGCACATTCCCCTAAGGTATCTGAACTTCCTCCGAAAACTGGTTCCAATTAGTGTTACCTGAATACTGACTCCAGCGTTCATGGTTCTTTCCATAATTAGTTGGAACAGCTGTAGCATTAAAAAAGGAGAGGGAAGAGACACGGTCACACATTGTACCCTTTGTTGGACTTGAATGTTTGACGTGGATTTATGTGCCCGGCAATGGACTATACCGCCTCGTGCTTTTGTCCCGCAGGGGATTTCCCAAGAAGGCCAACAGGACTGCGAGGATAGCCTCTGACGAGGAGATCCAAGGCACAAAGGACGCTGTCATTCAAGACCTGGAACGAAAACTTCGGTTCAAGGAGGACCTGCTGAACAACGGCCAGCCGGTATGGAGACGGGCCCGGGCTTGGCGTGGTAGCTCCCCTCGCTTCACTGAAACCTAGGTTCTTAAGCTTTGTCCACAGAATTGACTTTATTACCCCTGAATCTGAACATCCTCTTAGTGTTATCCCTTGAATCTGGGAAAAGGGACAGAGTGACATGGCTTCCTTCTGTGAGTCCCGAAACTGTTCTTGGAGGCAAGATAGCAAGTTGGAGACACAGGAAGGGCGGCTGGTTCTAAGGCCTGGAGTAGGACAGAGGCAGAACTGTGACGTGGGGAAAGAGCAAACCCTCGAGAGGGTGGGGCTGGGGACAGGCGAGGGAGAAGCTGAGCCCGAGAGCCCCTGTATCTACCCCAAAGCAGGGAACTGGCATTCAAGTGCCGGAACTGGGATTCCGACGGTACTGCTCTACACAAATGGTATCTTTACTAAGGAAATCGTCGCCCGCGTCCGGTTCTGTTCTCCTAGGACGATTACTAGACACTGACTCAGTAATCTGAAAGAGTAAGGCCCGTTTCACAGTCATTTTGTTGTTAATCTTCACACAAGGATATTTTTTCCATTGATTTTTAGAGAGAGTGGAAGAGAGGAAGGGTCGGGGAGAGAAACATCCATTCTAGAGAGACACGTCGATTGGTTGCCTCCCAAACACGTGGCCTGGGGGGAGGGGTCGGGGTCCAACCTGCAACCCAGGTTCATGCCCATAACCAGGAATTGAACCCAAGATCCCTTGGGTGTGCTGGCCGGTGCTCTAACCACTGAACCACACCAGCCAGGGCTGGTTCACAATCTTGTTCTAGTTTGTCAGCAAGAGAACTAAACTCAAGAAAAAAAATAATTATGTTTGAAGGCTCCTGAATTGTATAGTAGATAAAGAGATCTGGTTAAAAAATACACACACACATATATATGATGTTCTTTCCACTGGACTTAAATGTTTCCTCATCAGCTGTTTGGTTTTTGTTTTTCACTGACCCTTTTCTTATCACATCAGAATATTTTAAGGGGACAGGAAAAGCAAGTCTAGCAAATAAGATTTCTGGGGTAAAGGAAAGGAGCCTTTGTGTGTCTTTATTATGGAATTAGCACCAGAAAAATTTGCTTGGCCCTTAAGTACAAGAGGAAAAGGGCCCCTTGGTGTAAAGTCTCCCTCTCAGACACCGTTTTCAGAGTAAGAAGCTCTCTATGCCAACTGTTTTCTAGGAATTTTAATGATCAAGCATTGACAAAATGGGAGAATAAACCATGTTTGATTAGAAAGGTTGGGAATAGAGGAAGGTGTTGAATGCTGATATTAGGACATCCTAATCTGAGTTCAGGAAGACTAAAATTCTAATGACATCTTGTGTTAGTTACTCATTTCACCGAGAATAGGAGATTTTCACAAAGGGAAATGTTTTCTCCCTGAAATGAGTGTGTGTGTGTGCGTGTACATACTCTGAAAGTTTTCCCTGGTTCTGTCAACTGAAGCCTTTGGAAAATTAAAACAAGTGCTTATGGGAACTTTTTCAGGCCAGGTAAGGAAAGGCATCTCTCCAGTTTTTCTGTTTCTTTTTTCCTTTTTGGTGGTTTAAATATTCCTTATGGACTAAAGTTCTCTTTGTTAAAGTAAGACTTCTAAGCTATTATGACATACTATATATATTATATGTATATAGTATTCTTATTTATATGTCTTTTACATAGATAATCTGTTTTGCAGTGAATGACATTTACAATAAGTTCCATACATTCCCACATTGGAGAGTCTAAAAGGATAGGAAAAGTAAGGTTTCCCCTTTTAGAAAGTGGGACCCTCAAACAATTTTTGCCTTATGTTACATATTATTGGCTTCCAGAGACAGAGCTTGTGTATCCACATGGCATAGTGTTTAGAAACAAAACTGTGAAGTCAGCTTCTGATGTTGCCAGAGCATTCCAGTGAAGGACTAGATAGCAAATGGGTATTTCTGCTTATTAGGAGCAGAGTGGAAATCACTCCAGTCCTCCCTTAGATGTTGATACAGTTCTCCATGGAAACAGTAGGAAGGCTTTGAAGGGAGCAGAATTCATTGATTTTTTTTTTTTTAAAGAACCATGAGAAAATTAATGTATATAACAACATACTGGACCGAAACACTCCGTGACTACCTCTTCTTGTCTTCTGCCCCTTCTTTACTAAAGGAGATAATCTGAACTTCGGGGCTGGCTGTCATTTGGCACTTGACTTGTTTCCATTCCCGCTTTCAGCTGGGACTGGAACCAGCGATTACTGGAAATTATAAATTTGCCCAGCATATTTTTCTAATTAGAGTGTTTCCAATAGACTGTGTATCTATATTCAGAAGTTTATCTGAAATAATTTCGGTAGTCTTTTTTTAGGTTCCGCCTTACTAATCATCCTCTTTTCAATCAAACAGTTTATAAAATGCCCTATGGGGAAAATTGTCTTTTAAATTTCATCCCAGACCTGTAATTGTAAGGCATTTTAGAACCAACACTCCAGAGCAGGAATCAGCCCAACAGACAGAATAAAAATGTGGGCATTTCTTTTGTATGAGAATGGCCCAGCAGAAATGGTTTTGGCCACATCCAGAAGTGCTGGCTGCGAGATGTGAAAACATGACCACCTTCCTTGCTTGACAGGCAAGCAGTTTTCCTCTGAGTAGAATCCTGAGTGATGGTTATGAGCATTAGAGTGTCTTTCGTAGTCTTTTACCAACTCACCCGTGTGCAGTCATTCTTCGTGGCTTATTCTACTTGCCTCCAACACCTATGTTACACAGCAACCTAGAGAAATGCTCTTAAAAGGGAGACCCTCATCACTGCCAGGTAGTCTGAATCTTTATCGTTAAGGATAAATTTACAACACACTCTTCCTGCGTGGTTTCTGCCTTGTTACTTATTTTACTCACCTTGAATTTGTGCTCTGTCAGTTGGTGGCTCTCAAGATTAGTTGGCCCATCTCCCAGCACTGGGTTAGGCCCCTGGCACCAGAAGGGGAGATGAAAGGCAGGACAACTGAAGTGAGGGAAGGAAACAGAGTCCTTTGACATGCAGGTATTTAAAGGTGGAGAGTTACGGAAAACACCAAAACTTGTTTGTTTGGGGTTTTTCATTCTTTCGCATGAGGCAGTATACAACTGTGGCTTTTCTAACTTTGTGTTTCTTGTGATTCAATCTGTATAGAAGCTAACGTATGAAGAAAGAATGGCCCGTCGATTACTAGGTGCTGACAGTGCAACTGTCTTTAACATTCAGGAGCCAGAAGAGGAAACCGCTAATCAGGTACGTGTTCCTCTCAACTCCTTAGAAAAATAACAATTACTATGTCTCCTCTCCCCATACTCTTTACAGACACTATTCTTGGGATTGGCTCTGTGGAAAGTACAGGGCAGGTCAAAGAAAAGCATTATCTTATTTGTATTTATTGAGCCCACGCTGTGTGCCAGACAGTGTATTAAATGAAGCATAGAATTATTTCAGTGAAATCTGTTTTTACCTTCTTATTGATCAGTTTATTCTCCTTTCAAGTATCTGTTTTTCCTGTCCTGTGCTTCCGTGCAAAAATAGCTTTGTGTGGAGTAACTTATTTTCCCTAAAATTGTTTGAAATACCTAGTGACTATTTCCAGTTACATTTTTAATATCTAGTCAAAGTAAATATCTGTGTACAGAAAAACTATGTCTTTATTTTCCTTCACTTATACAGTTATAAATCACTAATCAGCAGAAAACCTAAAATGCTGTTTTTGTTCTCCTGCCACTACCAAAAAAAGTCACTTTATGGATTTGATGTAAGCCATTTTTTAATCTCCACTGCTTCTGTTTCCAGATGTAGTCTCCATATTAAAGTTTTTAAAAACAAGTTTAAAAGATCAGGTAAACTCTTTCTTGTGTCTATTGAGAAATGAATCTGAAAGTTTTTCTGTTAAATACAGCTACCGCAAAAATCTCCCTTAAAGAAAACTAGAAATCTTGCTAGTTTCTTATTATTTCTATTATTAGTCTTCACTTCTTTTTTTCTGCCATTACAGGAAATTGGGTCTCCTCATGCTTCTGTAGGGAGTCCTCTGGATGGTCAAAAGGTTAAGCTTCCACCTTTCTTCTCTTTCCAGTCTTTCACTGTATCTATTTTCTTATGTTCTGCCTTGTTTGCTGCCATGTATGAATTATAAACACTATGACAAGGTCTATTTTCATTTAATGTCAGATGAACAGAATTCCTGCAGTGTGATTTTTCTTATCACTTACTACACACTGGAATTTGATTGTCATTACTGGATACACTGAACTTTAAATTGTAAAAAGTTTTCTCATTATAACTCTAGGAAAAAGTGCTAAATCTTTAATAGTAATTAGACAAAACAACTCATGTATTTTTTGCAGTTTTATTCATAATGTTATATTTCTTCTCTCAAGCCAACAAACTTTTTTTAAAGGTCAAATAACTTTTTTCAGAGAAAATCTAGTTAAAACAATCTTTTATTTACCATTTGAGTAGAAAATGTCTTATAACAGGCTGCCTTGTCTTCACTGTACTTTGTAAGCCAGCGAGCGACTGTAGCATCCACTGTAATCACCATAGGAAGATGGTGGGGCCTTTGCTTTGCTTTTGCTTTTTTAACCAACATTTCATTGCACTCTTTTTTTTTTTTTTAAACAATCCTATTTTTTATCCTATTTTTCTTTTAAAGAGAGTGGAAAATAGTTCCTAATGGAGTCCAGAGGCTATGTGGCTGAGGATTGTTTTGAGTGAAAAAAAAACCATGGTGCCACTTTTTCCATTTTTCGATAAAATGCTCTGCAGTACTGCAGCTGCCGGCCACACGCACTGCCACGGCCACGGCCACGGCCCTTTCGGGGACATGCGCCCCCCGCGTCAGCTTTCACCCACGGGGAGAAACCAGTGTTCCATCGTGCTTATTTTTATGAACAGTTTAGGGAAATCTAGCCATTGCCTTTCTCTCTGTCCCCCCCCCCCCAA